TCGTAAAACCAAAACTCCTTTAGGTTTTCAGTTACTTGAGGAATATGATTCTAAAAAAAATTCAGCCATGATCAGAATAAATTTTCTTAAATAGTAATTCTCTCATATGAACATTTAAACGTACCTGTTGCTGCAATCTATTTACTGTCTTACTGGATTGAATTCTACCTCATGAATCCTGGAAGACTCTTGACTTGAGTATAACTCCAAAAATATGTGTGTGTGTGTGTGTGTGTGTGTGTGTGTATGTGTGTGTGTGTGTGTTTGCCTTTAATATTTTTATCTCTAATTTGGTTTTACCAAGCTGTTCCATGAATACAAAAGGAATAGATAGTAAGTTGAGAAACAAATGAAGGAATTTAAACATTTAAAGAATTTAAACAGCATTTAAACAATAATAAAAAGAAAGTTGCTAAAAATAGCATTCTAAAATTATATAAATATTCAGTAGAGCCACCTATGACAGTGAAAACATGTAAAACAGACTACATATTTTGCAATAATATTTTAATAAGCTATAGTGACAATTATAAAAAGAAATACCAATGTTTGGACAAAGATAAATTAAATGTTTAATAAATTATGAGCATATCTAAAATGGGCAGAAAGTATACAAACATGGCATTTGCAATGTAGTTATCTGTGTAACTGTAATTTTCCTCCTAAAACTGCAGGAAAACTGTGTTTGTCTGCTCGATACTCATGCATGCTAAAATACTCAGAAACATTGTCATCAGTTAAATAACTTAAGAATGAATAACTTTCACTGACATTAAATTGTAGAGTATTAGCTCAATAGTTTGTTTTTCTCCATCTCTGACTTAAATTTAGAAGAAGAAAAAAGGAAAACTAAGCTATAAGGGAAAAATCATCACCAGGGAAAAGTTTAAATGTTCTTTGTGTTCATAAGGTTTGAGTCATGCAGGAATTTAAGAGAAAGAAAAGAAAACAAAAATTAAAATATAAACTAGTTATACAAATATTGAAGCTATATCAGGAAATTTAATTACCAAACCATTAATATTTTGTATTTCCAATTTTTTTTTATAATTAAATAGTACCTTCTACTGTACTGTGGTGTGGTAGAATGACAATTGAAAGCAAAACATTTTTTCAGAAAGTTATGCATCTCTGCAGAATGTAAACCTGGAAAGACACGTCCATACTTTTTTCCTCAAGTGGGTAAATGTTAAGAGAGAAGAATCCAAGTTTCATGATGCAGCAGCACAAAGCTGGGAAGTGAAAATTATGTTGCAGCAGAGTCTTGAAAATATGACTGTAAAAGTTAATCAATAAAATGTCTATTCCTGTCTATTCACTAGAGGCCCCAGCTGCATAGCTTCACTCAATCGATACTACAAATTATTACGATTTCCCGGTTCCCACTGGACATTCAGAACAAATCTTTCAAGTGTAACAGGCTTACATTGTGTGTATGTGTGTGTATGGGTTCAGCTTTTAGTTCATATAGAGATAGTAAAAATAAAATTGGATTGTGTCTCCTGAAAATTTTCCATTTTTTCAGAACGGACAATCTGAGGACCACATTTTAAAACTAAAGCCTGGCCCCCTTTTTCCACACCTAATTTTGCACTTTTTAAAAAATGTGTACAGAAGTAACTGAAACAATTACAAACGATAACAGCAACTGACTCCATACTCTACTCTTCTTCCTCTAAAAACACCCTTCTGTGACTGTTTATACTACTGCTAAACTATAAAAGTCATGTAGTATATAATTAATTATTCATTAAAAAAACATTGAAGAGATATTTTATTTAAAAACTCAATACTTGGGTACCTGATGCACAGTTACGTTTGTCATCAATTATATACTCTGTCCCATCCCTAAGAAATCTATATTTTCCAACTTTTACTTTGATGGCTGATATATTAAACTTGTTTTTACATGTTGAGTTTTAGCACATTTTCACAAAATTTTTCATAGTACATTTTGTAACTGAAGGACATTTTAAAATAATATGAGGATGGGCTCCTCCTCCTTTGAAAAGAATCCCACATCATTGTGTAAGAGTCTCTGCTCTTCACTGCACTATAGAGGCAACTCAACATCTGTATTCTAGTTTGTAGCCATACCTTAGTCTGCACTGCATGTTGTTCCACTCCTCACTGCTCAATAGGTCAAATGTTCCAATTACCAAGTCCAAAATCAGGAACATTTTGGTAAGGTGATTGCTACACTATAATTCAAAATGTACTTTATTTCTCCTTTTGGCAAGTGAGCATGTCTATGTCTGCCCCACTTAATGCCAAATCAAGTATCCAAGTGATTCAGAGACATAGAATATATATATATATATATATATATATATATATATATATATATATATATATGTGCATATAGCTATATCTAAGTATATACATAGATATGTGTGTATACCTGCATATAGACATATGTTCACATGTATACATACATATGCACACATGTACATATGTATCATGCATTTATGTATATGCATGCATATTTCTATATGTGCAGATGCATATTGTGTGTAATATAATTCATATATGTATATAAATTACATTTTTTACTGATTTTTAAAATATTTTAAGCCAGTTGTATCTCTATCTTATAAATATTCCTTGTGATACCAGATAGTCTAGAGCTAGACAAGTCTTAAAGAATGGCTAAATTCGTTCTTAGCTATGTTTTTTAAGGATACCTCATTGTTTGTTCAAAGCTTTCATATGAAATAGAACATTTCCATTTAAAAAAAATACTTAAAATGTTGCACTTCTACAAGGGACATCTGCTAAACTGTGTGAATTGTTTTCCTAATCATAAATTTGCTGGTTCACGCTGGTGTTACTAGGAACTCTGAGGTAATAGTCAACATTTTTGTAACTTTTGTGGACTTTCACATCAGGGAAGAATTTAGTGCTTAATGTTAGCATCAGGAAGATGAACTATAGGAAATAAATCTGTGTAAAAATATGTGTGGAGAGATAAATGAATATACACAAAGCTTTAGTGATTTTTAACTTTTTATTAAATGGATCATAGTTTATTCTACGTATAAAATTTCAAATTGCAGATAGTTTCACTAGATTCTCAATTTTAATTCTAGAAGATTTTTTGGGGAAAATTGTAGGAAATAAGCCTCATTACAAATGAGTCATGTATAGAGAATATTCATGATAATATGTTAATAATCCTAACTTTTCATAAGTTATTGTTAGTTTAAAGTCAGTGTGTAAAATAGTTTCCTTTGAATTCCTTCTTCTTCAAAGTATCATTCAACAGCAGGATCCATCAACAATTTTAGAGATCCATCCCTTTTTTGATAATATTGTTCTATAGCCAGTCACTCACAAGACTTTCTCAAAAATGCTTTGGAATTCTTGGCACAAATTTAGAAAAAGCTGTTCTTCAACGGAAGTGGAAGGGCATTTGGGTAATGTCTAAATCTTATTCTCTTGTTATCTGAGTTTTAAACAGCTGTCTGAAACGTTCATTAAATGAGAAGAGAATTACTCTGAATTTGACAATTCATTGCTGTTTTGCTAAAAAAAACACTCTCTTAGTGGCACATTTTATGTTTTCTACAAAAAGATATGGAATTAAAATTGAACAGTTAATAAAATGAGAAAACGTATTTAAAATACTTGATAAACCTCACGTGTTATAAAAATGCTAACTATAATTAATAAAAATCCAACAGGCTAAAGTTTAAATTTATATTAATACATTATACCATAATGATTAATTTGTGTAAGGTTCTAAGTATAGAATGTTTCTTTAAGAAATCTAAAAATTTTGACGTCATATTAGTATACTCAGTGTGAGATGCAGTAATACTTTTAACAATCCGTGATTTGCAACTGGATCCCATCTCATATACACAGCTTGCTTTCAGCTTCAGGAATATAATATATCTAGTGTTTAAATAATTGAAAGGAAGAATATGTGTGTGTACTCACACACATGCACATATGTGCTAGCTTTTTAGCCTGATGACTCCTCAATATGTTCAGTGAATAGAATGAAATATCAGATACATATATATGTATATGTATATGTATATATATGTATATATATGTATATATATATATATTTATATATGTGTGTATATATATATATATATGCAGAAAGAGAGAGAGAGAAAGAGAGAGAGAGAGAGAGAGAGAGAGAGAGAGAGAGAGAGAAATAATTCATCTAAAATGCATCAGTTTCTAAATTACCTTTAAAAATACATTTAAAATTAGGTAGGAAGGGGTAGGAAAGGTACAGCATTTAACTATGAATCTGTTTGTGACACACACAATGCATATATATTTCAAGGCTCATTTGAGTAAGTGTGCTAAAACCTGAAGTTGAGATTTTTCATTTCATTATGAAGAAAATATTAAGAAAAGCAAATGTGGAATGGATACTAGAAAAGTGTAAACTGTCTACTTCTATGAATATTCCAACACGGCAACATATACATTTCAACTTATTCTTAATAGTCCCTTACATACATACCTCAATGGTCTGACCAGAATTTCAAACTCTAAATGTCCTTTAATTTGGTAGCATCTTACTCAGAGCAGCTGCTTTAACAGAAAAGAAAGGCAACAAGAACCATATGTAACCTTTGGACTCCCCAAAGAGGAAGATGAGAATGCCATTGGCAGATAGGTGCTATATAAATAACATTATTCTTTTTCTTCACCCATTACCTTTGGACCATTTTTTGAGAACTGAAAAAGAAACTAACACCTACTTTCTTATAAAGGACCCAGTTCAATATTTCAGCATGTTTGTTTGTTTGTTTTTAACATGAAGTTTTGGTAAAGTGGTAACATACTCACTTACAAGTTCATCTGAAATTCAAAGTTTTCATTTTCTTGAAGAAAGTAGCAAATACAGATATTTCTTTAGGCAAAGAATATTAATTGACTTCAATATTTAAATCTCTACCACAAAAGAGGACTTAGTCCTTCTTTCACTATGTTAGGATAAAACTTTTTCGAAATAGTGAAAAGCAAAAACTCACTTGTAATCATTAATTTCTTCTGCAGAAGCAATAATACGTTCTCTCACTGTCTTCAGCTCTGCCTGTGATTTTGTGCTGTTCTGTTCTTGACGAACTATTGCTGCTCTTTGCTCAGTTAGCTGCTCTTGAGTTGCTTTCAAGCTGGATTCCATTAGATGAAGTTTTTCATCTTGACTGGCAAGTTCTTGGGCTGAAAGATAAAAAAAGAAAAGCATTGCCTTTCCTTAAACCAAGTTAATGCTTTCTTCTCCCCCCCCCACTTCTTTTTTGGTTCAAATTTAATGCAACATAACTTTGAGAAAGCTTTAAACAGATCCTTGTTTTTAGAAGGCAAGCTCATTACTTTTTTCCCATCTCTCCATGTGAAAATACACAGGTAAATAAATATGCATCTGAAAGAACAGGTGACAGATTTTAGTAACTGAGATCTGATGACCTATTTTTATTCCAAAGATAGTTAGGATTTAAGCAGATCTAGAACTTGATTAAGTGTGTTTGTATTTCAGAATTTGCAAACAGTTTGCAGTATCAGTTACACATCAGGAAGTTTATCAGATGGCCCTTTAAAGTCCTTCATGGGGAGTTTTCTATACCCACAATGAAAACCAAACATGTATACACTTAGAATTTCCAAAAAAAAATTACTCTTTCCACTAAAGTATTTTTCATATGTAATAGAGTATATACTCTTATGAACTGTAAGTATGTTTTCCCAAGGTCATCCAATAGATGGCACTCTTTCATTAGACCAAAGCTGACTGTGGCAGAATGCTTCAGGCTCTCAGAAAATAAGTGATTTAAGACAAAGACATTTTTCCTTTGTTCTTTGTTGACCGTATTCCTAGAGATATATGTCTATACATTTTCATTTGAATATTTTCCCCTTAAAAAATGCATGTCTGCCTTTTTCCTGTTGCCCCAAAACATACACTTTCAAAGACAAATGTTCCATCTCAGTGATTTTTTTTAACCACCAGCATAGAATGTGAGTGAATTTGTCCACATTCAACTATGTACCCCAATCTCAAGGCATTTTTGTAATTAAAATGAATTTTGCAAACATTTTATTACAGGGAAGAGTAGTTGATACAATCCAGCTCAAAACAGATAGTTAAATAATCCCAAACTCTCAAATCAAAAGAGAAAAAAACTATAGGAGTGCATAAGCATCCTTTAGAAGCCACAAATGGATACTCATCACAATGGGAAGACCATATTTTCATACAAAAGGAACCTCTCTGCCTTTAAAGAATCTCATTTTATGTCCAAAAACTGGTGTTTATATTGAGCTTCAATAAAGCTGAAAACCAAGGTATTGTTGTCTTACATCAGAGGTATCCTTTACAGGCAACCTCATAAAGAAAATACTCTGTATAAATATTCTACATTTATCACTCATCTTTGAAGTTAAATGATGCTTCCCAGATAAATTAGATCTAACTGTATCTGATTCTCAGTTACTCATTTATAGATTTTTGAGGATCTGAAAGCTCAACTTTCAATGAAAATGTGAATGTACATTTGCTTTGTTTCCTTACAAATGTTTAAAATGACCAGTTTATTCTTCCTTCACCCCAAAAGGTATTACAGCATCTACCATTTTTATAACTTAAACCTGCTATATATTAACAGTTTAGATTTGTGCCTCAGGAAACCACAGAGCTAAATCAAACAGCTAAATATTTAACAAGGAAGCACACATCACCCAGAGCTCATCTTTATTAAATCCCAAGTACATGTGAATCTTTCTGAACAAATGAGCTAAATGTTTAATAATTTCAACACATGTTAAAAGTATGGACAAAAATCCAATAAAGAACTTACAACAAGTTTACTTTCCAAATCTAACATCAATCCTTCAGGCAAAATTAAAAAAAATAAAATAAAATAAAAAGTAAGGGTAAAGCTTTACTGCTCTAGTCCAATAAGAAAATGTAATCAAATGAAAAAAAAGTCAATACTTTTTGGTGACATGTTTTTAGCATTGTTAATGTAGAAACATAAATATTTCAAGTGCAATACTTTCGTTATATGCACATCTCCATCTCCTAGTATTTCTATTTCTTCTAGAGCAAAACAAAACAAAGACAAAGCTATAAAAAATAAAAATGGGAGGGTGGGAGAGGATTCACAGATTTTTAAACTTGCATGTTAAATGTCCTGATTTTCAAGGTACTTTGATCAATGTCATCTCTCAAGAGGGACTATATATGTTAGGCCATTTTAAAAGGTTTCTTATTTGAGAAAGCTACTTCCAAGGACAGGTTTACTTGAGGATGACAGGGGTAACTTGTGGCACAAGCATACACACACACATACACACACACACACACACACACACACACACACACACACACACACAGAGACCTTTCCTTTTCCCAAACATATTAATGCCTTCTGAATTTTCTAAGCACTGTGTCTCATCAAAATGGCTAAGCAGATTTATGTTTCCCAATTCTTGAAAGGACCTACTTTAATTCATTATATGCTGGTTAAAAAGGGGTAAATTATTTTAAGTTTACCTATGCTTTGGACTGGAGCCTGAGCTGATCCCAAGCCAGAGGCGCCAGCAGCTGCATGCTTTATTTACAATCCCTTTGTCAGACTTACAACTGCCCCAGGCTATAACATAGTGTACCTAATGTTCAAACTGGCAGGTAATCTTATGTCAAACATACTTCTTTGATTTAAAGTGATCAATAGATTCTTGTAAAGAGGTAATTTCTCTGATGTTTCCACCTTGCCTTTCTTACAGGTGATTCACACAAAAGCCTGCTTATAGGATGTACGAACAATAAACAGAAAGCTATAATCATGTTTTTTCAGATGTTTCCGGTGCACAACGATTTGGGATCGATACCCTGTGTAATACAATTATCTGCAATGATCTGGGTGTATTGAAAAAGAATTTGCAGCAGACCTCTAGGGGGTTTGATCCAGGAACACGTATCTGGCAATGTGGTGAAGAGTGGAAGGAAAAATTAAGGGGCTGATGAAGGCTGTCTATTATATACCAAATGACTTCATTAATACTTCATTTGGTAAAAATAGCATGCCACAAAGTTTCATCACATGAGTTAAAAGTATTAATAATGGAAACAGTACTCCTGCTTTTCCTCCAATGTTTGCTTATTTGGAAAAAAAAACACCAGGCTATAACAATATTAATAGATATTGAGGAAAGAGGATCTGCCTTGTCCTAATAAAATGTAAAACGGAGCATTCTTAAAAGTGAATGCTTGAGTGGAGCAGAAATTGGACTTGGAGTCAAGAAAACCTAGTTTCAAACCTTATCTCTGAAACCAGTTATGGCATTTAACTTTGTTGAATTTTAGTTTTCTCATTAGTAAAATGGTATCATAATAACCCCTCAAGGTTGTTGTGAATAATAGTGAGCACTTATTTTCATCATAAAATAGATTTCTAATTTCCATTCCATCAGAAATTATTTGTATGAATATTTTCAGTTGTGAAAAAAATGTAGAATGTCTTACTTAAATCTTTGACTGTTTTCCACTAGAAAGGTAAAATAACTTGTATTAGGAATTAATTTGTAGTAGTTCAACCAAACTATTCCCTAAACCATTTTGCTTCAAGCTTCTTAAGTTCAAAAAATGGTTTGCACTGTCAGCAAAGAGCTAGCACGTTCAGACTGAAAAAGGCCTTAAACAAATTTTCTGCAAACATCTGTTTGTGTGGAAACAACCCAGTCTTGTTTATTTGCTTTGGGTGAAGATGCTGACTCTGTCTCTGCATCCATTCTAAGGCTTAGACCCACACTGTGTTTTTTTTTTCTATTTCAGTACTCTAATCATAAGTCCATAAGCTAGGAAATTCTCTTTCGACAGGCTCCACCACCTTCCCCTGCAGTAGTGGCACAATTTGGGGGGATGGGTCTTGGGGAGTGTAGGTTTGTTATTACCTGCTTAGCCTCAAAGCACTGCTGAGCCCATCCAGCAGTTCCTGATTTAGCTGCTGAATCTCAGCTCTGATTATGGTAATATCTTTTTCTATGGTTCTTTTCTTTCAGTGTGTCCTGGATACTGGCTTCCAGTTTCCTGACCACACTGTCAAGATGCCTCACCTCAAATACTCTGACTTTGATACCTTAGCTTGCCTGCAGGAGACCAACCTCTGACTTTCTTAGAGGGTAACATCTTTTGCGTACAGCCTGTGAAGACAAAAAAAGCATTCCAATAGTGTCTTTTATGAGGTACTTTTTATATTGCATCCTGCTATTTTGAGCTATAGGATACAGGAGATTATACAGCACCTCATTAGCAACTGGGTCAAGTATCCACATCTCCTCCAGGATCAAAAACTTAAAGGGACTTTCATTTAAAAAAAAGTCTGCCCAAGAAGAGATTCAACATTACACTAAATACAGTATTAATCAATACTTAAAGGTTCAAAGGCAAAAGAAAATATTCCATATAATTCTCAGGGAAGGAGAAAGGAGACTAGTTTGATCAAAATGAATTCTTTTCTTTTAAAAAATGAAGGGGGATTTGATGAATAAAAAAGTATATTTAACCTCTGTGAGCCAACACCTACAGAGCCTGGGATGAGCTCTAAAGCAAACCACATTAATGTGACACATGGGGAAATCCCCACACCATAAAGATAATTATGAGCCCCTACTAATTACTTCTCTTCACTGCTTAAACTAATTAGCTTTATAAAAATAAAATATTCATCATTTCTCTTTTTTTACTTCATTATTATCATCCACTCTCTAGAAGAACTTCACATTCAGTGTGACTTAAGAAAGCCTTAGTCTATATAAGATGAAAGGTTTCTACGTAAACTACTATCAGCTTTAAAATGAACTAACTTTGCTAAACTTTATTCGTGTTCGTTTCATATCAATATGGGTTTTAATGACTGGCTGTTTTTTATTGGCTTCATGCCACCACTTGAATCTCTATCATGCTCCATCATGCTTCTTTTAATCTGAATATTTAGTCCTCTTTCATGTCTTAATTACAGCAAATTGCGCACAGTTGGCACCATTTCTTGAAATTAATCCCAGAGTACTTTGTTTCTGTCAAGCAGTCAAAGCCTTAGAGAATAATAGTAAATGTTATTGCAGATCTAAATTTAAATGACTGTCTATGTA